AAGATTATAGAAGAATACAACATGCAGCAGGTCAGATTTGGAACGATCAAAGAAGGGTCTTAGCTAGAAGGCCGCGTTGACCGTGTAACCATGGCCAAAATGGAAAAACACGGCAAATAATAAAATGAACGCACCTTGATTATTCAAACACATGTGAGGGTCAATAGATATTTATGTGATTTTATGTCATAAGAAAATGTGTAAAATCTAGTTTATGGAAATTGGTTAAATGATCCGTGATGTCTCCAGTTTTCATCATGTCATGTTTAGGTGTATATATATATAATGGGAACCACATTGGTGTGAAAATAGTTTCGAATGTCCCAAAACTCTCATTGTAAAGTCAATATGAAATATGAGCGTTTTATTCTAGCGAACACCCTGGATCAAAGTTTTACTTCATGAGTAAGTTGATAGGTACTGTATATGATTAAAGTGAGAGTTTCATTATTTTAAAATTTCAATAATTAAAAGCAGTGTTTTACCGTATTCGGAGATAAAAGATAAGCATCTTTCCCAATACGATCAAACTTCACAGACAAAATTCCAGATCCAGGAATTCTATTTGAAGTTTCATACCTTCGCCCAGATGAATTGGAATAAATGACAAACTAAATAAAAGCAAATATTTTGTTACATTAAGAGCTGAACAGTGGCAAACACTTGGAGATGGGGTGAAAGGAATAGGGAAGGGGGTGAAAGGGATAGGGAAGCAAGGGGTTAAAGTGGTGAGGAAAGGGGTGGAGAAGGGTGTTAAAGGGGACGTGGTGAATGCGGTCGGAAAGGGAGTGAAAGGGGAAGAAAGGAGTGAAATGGGTGGGGGAGAGGGAGGCTGGTTTTAGTGAAGTCTTTTAAGTACTATTTAAAAAACGAGCAGGAGTGTTTTATTAGGTTTAAAGCCACGAGCGCGCTGCGCGAGTGGCTTTAGACCTAATAAAACACAACCTGCGAGTTTTTTAAATGACTTCAAAAACATTTGCATATTAAGTCAAATCTTTATTAACGGCAGCGTATCCGAGTTTGGAGGTAGGTGCCGTTGGTGGCCAAGGCTAGTCGGCGATCTAGCCTTGTCGGGCAAATGACCGCAATGGCAAACATTAGGCAAAAC